AACAGGCTGCAAGGGCAAGAGTGAAACATGGGAGGGGAATTCATGATCACAATGCTTTTGTTGGGGCAGTGTGCACCAACAAGACAAGCAGGATTAGCTGATCAACAATCGGTGTGAGAAAGAGCAATTGATACTCACCTGCAACACTGTTAAAGAAAGTGAAACTAATTGTATCAGAAACTATCAAAATGCAGCAGCAGGGCATGAAGGAATATATTTTAATTATTCCAGCTGAGTAAAGGTGTGCTTGTGCATTTTGAAGATTTCTCTATGTTTGAGTATTCTACCATGCTGATGGTTTTCTTTACAAATATAAAGTAAATAATATCACAGTAAAAATACATAGGAAATTTTAAACTATTTTTAATCTTTATTATTTAAAATAAAGATTTTCACAGGAGAAATTTCATCATTATTTTGTTCACATCAGCAACACTCAGAAGGCTTTTTTTTTGTATCTTAGAAATTCATGGTAAAATAACTTTTAGACCTTATGACAAAATTCATGGTGTTAAATGCCAGTTAATATCTTCTAGTCTTTGCAAATGGACTAGCTAGTGTTTTTAATGTAAAGAGTTGTACAAAGTGCACACTTCTTTTGTAAAGACATTTCAGCTACTACAGAGCTTCTGTAAGGAACTGCTTCCACTAAAACTGCTTTCCATTCATTTTTTTCTTTAGTTGCTCATTCACTTCACACTAAACTGAAAGAAACAGTTAAGTTGCACTCACAATTCATAAAGAAGAGTTATATTAAACCTTATAAGCCATTATGAAACAGACTGAATTTCTTGAGAAATATACCAAATCACAGAAACAACAAGTGCTTTAGTGTGATCAACCTGATGCTCCTCTTTGAATTTAGAAAAGGAAGAAATGAAGTTCCCATCTACATGTGTCTCTACTTGGACAGCTGGAAATTAAAGCAACTGTATTTTTCATTTCTGTTTATGTTTAATTCTAATACCCTCAGTTTTATGGCAAATCAAGTAGCAAAGCTGTGAAAAACAAAACTCACACATTCAATTCCTTAAACAGATGTGACAAAATATACAAGCAAAAGATGTACCTGTATAACTTCTTTCAGGAGCAATTTTTTCATGTATCTCTGATGTTTTGGAAGGGCCTGCTTGAGAAAAGAGAGAATAGTTTTTAAGGGAGTCTCATAACAAACACATATTTACAGCCCATAGAGGAATTTGCCAAGTAACTTTTCATTTCTTATATTATGTGCTCACTTCATACTTTCTGTAATGTTGAACTTTGGAAAGACTGCTTTAAATGATAAGTATTTTTAAATCCTTACTTATTTGGTTTAATAGAATAAAAATGCAGTTAATGGCAGTATTGTGCATTTCTTGAACTACTGAACAGTCAAGAGACTCATGCTGAACACCAAGCTTTCAACTAATAAGCTAATTTTTAAAAAAGAAATATTGATGCTTCTGCCTTTCTTCAATGACATTTTAATCAGCTGGATATTTTTCCTGTTCATTAAAGTTTTATGCCTAAGGAGCGTTTTTTGACTTCAAAATTCCTACCTATGTTAAATACATAAATTCATGGGGATTTACAGTAGGACTCACAGCTGGTCTGTGGGTTAGAGAGGGTTAATTAATGATATTTGTTTTGAGAAGTATTGTCTGACCAAGGCTGCTGGCACTGAGACCAAGAAGAAAAGAAAGAGAAAAGAAGATAACTGGGGGGAAAAAAAACCCCACAGCTGTGGAAAGTATTTTGAGAAATGTCCCGGGAAGAATAGGGGTGGAGAACTTTCCACCAATGACTGTTATGTTGACTAATTGTAGCCAATGAAAAAAGTGTAATCTGTATAGAGGGTATAAAAGGTGGTGTGTTGTTGTAATAAACAGGTATTAGCCTTCTGAAATGTAATATGCCTTTTGTATTGTTATGAATGATGTTCTATTTTTTCCAATATATCAAGCAACAAGATTAAATTTAATAGTAAGGTTTTAATAGTAACAAAATGAATACAATCAAAGTATTTGAGATGACAATTAAAGTATTGGAGATGAAACAATCAAAATGCATATATTTAAGAATATATAAAATTTGGCAGTAAGTAATTTAGTATAATTGAGGTTCGTATAAAGCATAAGCAAAACCGACCGGGGAGGGGCCCCCCCCAGCCGGGGATACGGGGAGTGGCTCCCATTGCTCACGTATCAAAGCATCCAGGCTGACAATCCCACTTATATACTGTAGGCTACAGAAGTTTCCAGAAAGCTCCTCCTAGTTTCTATTCCTAAAATCTACCTAACTATACTGCACGGTGCATGCTCTACTAATGGGTTAGGGGGTCTCTCATCCTTTTGAGGGTCTTATTTCCAGTGAAGGCTCATCATCTTCATCAGTGACCGAGGTGTGACCTGCAGGTAGCGCAGGCGCCCTGTGTGACTGAGCAGATGTTTTCCATAACATGACTTTAATTAAGTCCCATGCTTGGGATCATTCCATTTTTGACAGCTTCAAGGTTGAAGCTGTATTTCTAGATGCTGCTTATCAGACCTCCGTCCTTCTACTATTCTTATCTGACTTTCTTCTAACCTTCTTCTTCGACTCCCAACATCTGGAAGATGTCTTTTGTCCTGTCTCACTCATCTCCCCCCCTCACTCTGTAACAATTGTCTTCTATTGATCTAAATACAATTTTGTTAATATAGTTACAACTTAATTAGCACGAATCACATTTATCACAGTATGTCACGCCCACCCCTACAGCAACAGGGATTAAACTAATTTATGGCACTCCAAGACTGTTTACTGTTCATTACAACAGTTCTTTTGAAGACTACAGACAGACAGACTGGTTAAAAAAGACAGGTGCAGAAAGCAGCACAGAAACTACATTTAAGAGATTAAATTAACACTCCTAAAATCCTACTGCTTACTGCTCTGGCACTTCTGCAGCTCTGCTAGAAGGATGATCTGTTTACAGCACAAACTACACCACAGAAATTGCACAGGTATGGAAAACTTGCCTATATGTGACAAACAGGAGTAACTGGAACTGACCAATTTGTGTTCTGTGTAAATCCAATACTTTCCGTGTTCATTTGCAAAAACAATCTACAGAAGTTCATATAGCAGACCAGAAATTCCAGTTGTTTAGAGATATGTTCTTAAGTTGCATATAGGTAACAAACTTTGTAAAGAAAGGCCTTACAAAATCGTGGCTTAGGCCTGTTACTTCATGTGGTCGTTGATTTGGCTAAGATGGACTGGGATTTAGCCCGGGTTCCCTACACAGGAGGCATCAATTTAAGACCCTGGGAGGCAAGTTGTTAAAAATCAAAGGCTTTGGCCTAAAACCATGGGACTTGTGGGGACATGCAAGGACATGCCCAGACATGTACCTAGTTCTGTTTGTGATTGGACCTTTGCCCTCAGGAATTCCCCTATGTATTGTTAAACTGACACCTCCCCCTGGGCTTTGGATGCTGCCTCTCAGGCTGAAGGGTCAAGGATGGATGGAAGGATTTCTCAGGCACACCATTATTCCTGTACTGTTTTTTATAGCCACATTCTGAATGGGTCAAACCAGTGAGGTTGTTGCAAAGGGAAAATCCCCTGTCATAAGTATATGTTATATTATTGGCTTTTCACAAATATTACAATGAATGCTATATGTATAATGTTGGAATATTTTGCTGCATGAATATAGTTGCTTTTAGTTCTGTTATTAACAAAACTTAGAAATAGTAGTGTGATAAATATATTTTTCTTGGACTATAGCATGGTGATGTACAAAGCTTTTGTTCATGTAACTAACTCAGAGAATGGTAAAAAATAATCAGGAAATTCTTCACATTCTTGGATTATCCTATCTGGATGAAGATGGCAGTGATGGACACCTGAACACCTGGTGAGGAATTTACTGATCATCCCTTATCAGGGAGTGCACAACAGGATGGAGCCACAAGGAGAAATAAAAAATGTTGATTTACAGGAGGGGCGGGGGGAGGTTGGGGGAACTCAAAGGAATGTTTTTGATTAATGCAGGAGGGTCTATGAATATGCAATGGGCTGATGTATTTAAGGGGTGTCTCCAAACAGCAGGTTGCTCTTGGCTGAATGCCAAGCACCCAGCCATATAATCTTTTGCTTTATTGTTTGCCTCTTGTTGTCTTTTTTTAAGCTTTTTAAACTTTACCAAGAAAGTGAACCTTGTTCTTCACACCCCCCACAACAACTTCAGTTAAGTGCAGTTAACAGCTAGCCTGTTAAGTTGCCATGAGAAAGAATTATAAGAATGAAAATTAGTTTGCATAACAATCTATTCTTGTAAAGAAAAATAGGTTGCACCTGCATAAACAAGAAATCTATCCCATGAGAAACAGTGAACAAAAATATGTACACTGTGTAGAAATAGAGAGGTTTGATGGACATGCACCCTGGCCATTTATGGACCAATAAACTGAATTTCAGTGTATTCTTAATTAATTGGATTGTCTTAGGTTGCAATGCAAGATGTAACCAGAAGTATGTATTCCATCACCATCAGCTGAAACCAGGTGGAGCAATGTTCCTTCTCTCTTCCACTTTGTCCAGGGAGCCCCACTGCATGGCTGATAAAATTACATCACCCCATTGGGAGATGCCCCACCCAGGGGGAGGAGCCAAGCATTCTCTACATAGATAAAATCTGAGATTGGGAACATCAGAGCAGCCTCTTTCCAGTGGATTCCCAGAGGAAGACCAAGCCCACCTTCATCACCACTGGACCTTCAGAGGAAAGCTGCACCATTTACTTACACTGATTCCAAACCTGTGCCCCTTGGCAGAAGGAATGGATTTATCACCTCATGGATAAGCATTGCCAGCAATGCTTGCTTTTCTGGCCATTTTACAGACTACCCATATAGTAGAGCAATGTGAACTAGATGTGATTCCCTCCAGGAAGCACAACATTGTGCTCAATATATTTTCTGGAATTTCTTGGTTTAAGATAATATCTGCATACTCAGCATTACATGCCAGCCTAGCTTCATAGCTTTAGCTCCATTAAAATGGACTTTACATCTAGTATTCTGACAGATCTCCAAAGGAGGAATATTTTCTTGTTATAGACATACTAAAAGACATTCATTACTTTTAAGATTTCAGAGTGAGAACAAATGCAAAGTTTACATTCACATTTTCAGTTTTTTCTTTGTAGAAGACATTTTCAATCTCATTTGGGTTTGGATGAATGTCCTGTATTTCAATTGCCTCACTAATATTGTCAAAAATTCCAAAACTGACAGCACTGTTCAACTGCATGGTGTTTTAAAGAGAAAAGCTGCTAGCCTTTTTTTACTCACTTGTAGGTGTTTTATAAACTGAACCAGCCAATTCACAGGACAGACTGTTTACAGCCTTTTCCTTCTGCTGCCATTTTTCTTCATTTATACTTCAAGGCATCAGTGGCAGTAAAGACCAACATTCACAAAATTTACAGGGTAACATGCCACTTTTACAAACTGTTTTGTCCTAAGTCAGCAAATAATTCACTTCTGTATGGGTTATGCCTCCCAAATACCCTGCTTCATCCTATGCTGATAAAGCACAGAGCATTCAGCACTCACTCAGCAGTGCTGCACTTTAGAGTCCCAAGGGTTTGTTTTTATATAGGACAAATGCAGTATTCTCAAATTTGAAAATACATCTGACATTGGAGAAATTATTATTTAATTTGTTTCTATTAAACCACTAAACCAAGAAACAGCATTTCCAGTTATGTTTCTTTTCATCAGAGCCATAGTAACTGATACTTACAGATAAGGCACATGCAGAAATATTAGCTAACATAGCTGGAATGCTCCAAGATGGGTCACTTAGTCCTAATGATCAATACTCAGCCCTTTCCTCATTTAGTCAATCATCAAAATATGGACCTTTTTTCCAGAACAGGTTGTCTTTGGTCTCCCCCAAGTTTAACACTGCAGTAACCTTCACATTTGTCCTGGACACTGGAAAAAAACACCTACTGCCATAATGCATGTACTAGTTTGAAAGCAAACCAGTGGGAGATTCCAAGTCAGAACTACCATTTAATAGGAAAATTAAAATAAAAAGAGAAAACACTGGCTTAAACTGACAGTGTCAGGACATAATCTGACACCCTGTTGGCCATGGTGGTGGTAGCAGTCCAATTAAATGGAGGCTGCAGTCCTGATTTGCAGTGATAGATGTGCTTCTGTTGAAGCAGTGATCCTGTAAAAGGGTCTGGTCTTCCCCTGAAGAGGAACCAGTGGTGGTTATGGAGCTCTTGTCCTCTGGGAATCCAGTGGAAAAAGGCTGTCCTTGTTGCTCCAAACCTTAGATTATATCCAGGTAGGAATGCTTGGTTCCTTTCCCTGGGTGGAGCATCTCACAATGGGCTGATGTGATTGTATGAGTCATGCAGTGAAACTTGATGGCCCCTTAGTGGAGACAGCCCCCAGAGTTACCAGGGAGGAGTCATGGAGGAGAAAAGGAACACTGCCCCACGTGTTTTTATGAAGATGGTAATAGAATACATACTTTTGGTTGTATGTTACATTGTAACCTAATTATCCACCCCTATTCTATTACATCTGCATCATACTCAAATCAACACCTTCCTTAAACTCTACACTTACATATATATATATATACACACAATGAAACCTTATACAGAGTTCTTACTCAATATTAATTCTCTTTGTGGTACACAATGGGTTTACCCATCTTTCTGCATTACCCACCAAGTGTAACCAGGTCCTTGAGCAAAAACAATCCTGTGGATAAGTTTGCCTTTGCCTGAGGTGGGACTAATTCAAACAGTCTTACCCAGTCTTACCTAAAATACCTCTCACATGTACCACAGGGACTTTATCTCCATCCACTGTGTGCAAGTGTTCAGACTGAGCAGGGCCAGCTCAGCTGATGGAGCCTCATGAACTGACCATGCAGGTGGCCTTTGCTAAATTCAGTTCCCAGTATTTGAAGGTCCCTCCACCAAGTGCCTTCAGTGTAGTCTTATGGAGTCCATTGCACTGTTCACCTTTCCCGGCAGTGGGTGCATGATAGGGGACATGATATATCCATGCTGTGTTCTCTGGCTGAGGTGTTTATAAACTGTTCTTGAATTGAGTCCTGTTGTCTGACTCGATTCTCTCAGAGGTGCCATGTCTCCACAGGCCTTGTTTTTCCAGGCCCAAGATGTTGTTCTGGGCAGTGGCATGAGGCCCAGGGTAGGACTCCAACCATCCAGTGGTGGCTTCTACCATGGTCAGCATGTAGCACTTGCCTTGGCAGGTTTGAGGCAGTGTGATGTAGTCAATTTGCCAGGCTTCCCCATACCTGTGCTTTGACCATCGTCCACTGTACCACAGAGGCTTCACCCGCTGGGCCTGTTTGATTGCGGCACAGGTCTCGCAGTCGTGGATGACCTGTGAGATGCTGTCCATGGTAAGGTCCACCCCTCGGTCACGGGCCCATCAGTTCGTTGCATCTCCCCCCGATGACCAGAGGCATCATGGGCCCAGCAAGCTACAAATAATTCTCTTGTGCTGCCAGTCCAGATCCATCTGCCATACGTTCAGTGTGGTAGCTTGATCCACGTGCTCACAGTTACAATGCTCTTCATTAGCTCAACTCTTGGGTACGTGTGCATCCACGTGTTGAACCTTCACAGTCAGCCTGTCTACCCATGTGGGAATGTCCTGCAAATCTCAGCTGCCCATATGGGTTTCCCTCTGCGCTGCCAGTTGGCCTTTTTCCAGCGATCCAGCCATCCCCACAGAGCATTAGCTACCATCCATGAGTCAGTGTAGAGATAAAGCCTTGGCCACTTCTCTCGTTCAGCAATATCCAAAGCCAACTGGACGGCTTTTAGCTCTGCGACCTGACTCGATCCACCTCGTCCCTTTCAGTCTCTGGTAGCTCATTATATGGTGGAGCTTCCTCAGCACGTGTCTCTTGCTCCTCTTCTTCAGAAGATAATCCAAAAGTCTCACCTTCAGGCCAGTTTGTTATCATTTCCAGAACCCCAGGGCAATTAGGAGGTCCTATCTGGGCTCACTGTGTGATCAGGGCGATCCACTTGCTCCACATGGTGTAGGTGGCATGATCACACACAGAATCACACACAGAATGACTGGGTTGGAAGAGACCTCCAAGATCATCGAGTCCAACCCATGTCCTAACACCTCAATTAGACCATGGCACTGAGTGCCACATCCAGTCTTTTTTTAAAGACATCCAGGGATGGTGATTCCACTACCTCCCCAGGCAGACCAGGGTTTCCTTCTTGTTGGTAGGTGGGGACATAGCAGTGATTTAGTTGATTACTTCCATTGGGATCTGGCCATCCACATTGCCACTTGACTGCTAGAAACTGAATTTCTTGAGCAGGTCCCTTAACATTACTTTGCTTAATGGCAAAACCAGCTTTCAGAAGAATCTGGATAATCTTCTCTCCTTTCTCCAAGACCTCCCCTGAAGTTTTAACCTAAGACAGTGCACTGACAGAAGACTGCCCCTTATTCTCTGTCAATACACCCACAAGAAGTTTTAGTCATCTTACTATGTACTGCTAAAACAATTCTAAATTTAGTAATTCAGTATTAACTCATGGCAACATCCAAATGGTGCAACCTTCTACCGAGATGAGAACATCCACCTACAGATATAATTCTCCCTCTCTGATTAACAGGAAGAGTTAGTGTGCCACCCAGAACCTTGACCAGCATTACAGATCTTTGAGAGGAAGCACTTAGAGAAAAAATATAACCATGAAATTTTATCAGTGAATCATTTTCTCCAAGGAGCCTGAAGCAGACTGCTGTTCTCTAACACGTTTCCTCTCAGAAACAGATAAGCCTGGCTTCTGCTGTAAGTTATTTTTAACAAAATTTATTATCTTATCCATTTTCTTCATTTTGGAGCACATCTCTCCAAAGGCAATGCTGGGGTAGACTATGTCATTCCTCAGGAACACCCCTCAGAATAACCACACTATTCTAAGGTTCACTTTTGTACAGCACCACCACCCACACACAAACATCTAAGTGCCTCCAGAATTTATAGCTCTCTATATATATTTTGTACAACCTTTAGCTTGAATCAGAATGGTAGCTATTTGAAGAATGAAGAGGAAGCTGCTTTACTTGCCAAGTCAGCATGACTTGACATGAAAGAGAGAACATCTCTTAGCTCACAGCACCCCATCACTCCTACCAATATACTCAGTTCTGTCTTGTTTTAAATGCCATTTTGGACAACTACACTGCAGGTGGAGAGGGGGAGTTATTAATTGTGCACCACTTTATCAGAAAGAGATATATATTTCTATTCATCAATCAGAAGATTTAAATCTAGAGTTCTGTGAAAGACAACAGAAATCTCCCCTGTCAAATGTGCTTAGACTTCACTCTGGAAGTGTATTGCATATTGCATATTGGATTTTTCAGCTCAGACAAATGCACTGCAGTGAAATGGATACTATTTTGTAAAGAAACTATTTCAGTGCAGACTGTCTTCTCAGATGGCACTGAGTCCCACTGTGAGCTACTGGCCAAATTCTGACATCATTTATATGCATGAAATGCAAAACCACAATGGAGATGAAAACAAAAGGATGAGAAGACTTGGAGTTGGAAGGAACGATGATTAAGTTGTCTTCACACCAGTATCTACTTTTACTACATTAAATCATGCCTGGAAACCACTAATTTGCCTAGCCTGTAAGCCTCCAAGGCTAGGCAATGTACACATATGAAGAGCAAATAATCCTAACATCTTTCCAGTTCTTCACTCAAAGGGTGACACGTTGCTCTGCCATTCTTGATTATGTCTCTGAGAGATGCTCATATGTTACTTGAGATATGCCAGGATGAAAATATTGATTCCACAACCCCATAATCAGTTATTAAAGCACATTAGAAAATAGTCTCAAGAATCTTCATGTCTGAACACACACAAAATGTTATCTCAATAATATATAATATCACAAAATGAAAGGATGTGCTGTTTTGCACTTAACAGTTGAACATGTAATTGTCATTGAGAGATGTGTGGCAGCTTGCCCATATTTCTTTGTACTACTCAATTAACCTAATGACAAATACACATAGGTTGAAATTATAAATTTAAAGTTTTAGTTATTTTATACTGCCATTTATAATAACAATTTCTTAATTATTGTTCATGTCAACATAAATAAAAAACAATTTCTCTTTTCTCCTAGCTGAGGTGAATGTGTTACCTGGATACAGAGAGGTGAGGCAAAGCAGCTGGGAGACAACTGAAAACACACACAGAGGCTGAGCCATGGGGCTCATAAATAGTGTTATGCTTTGTCCACATGATCACAGAATCACAAGGCTGGAAGAGACCTTCGAGTCCAACCCATGCCCTAACACCTCAACTAAACCATGGCACCAAGTGCCACATTCAGTCTTTTCTTAAACACAGCCAGGGATGGTGACTCCATCACCTCCCAGGCACACAACTCCAGTACTTGATCAGTCTTTCTGTAAAATACTTTTTCCTAATATCCACCCTATATTTCCCTTGGCACAGCTTAAGACTGCCTTTAAATAAATAAACCTTTCAATAAATAAATCTTGCAGTACAATTTTGACACATATTGGTGATTCCATACAAGAGAAGTGATTGATATACATCCAGTCTATGACTGGAATCACAGAATGGCTGATTACATAATATACTGTGTATAAAAGCCACTGAAACTTTAAACTAAAGAAAAAAGTGCTCTAGAAAGCATCATTATAAAGGTTTATTTCCTATTAAATGAAGTCATTGGAGTTAAGAGTCTGAACACTGCACCCTCAGAAAAATACATCAATCAGTTCAAAAGACTCCTGGAACTTCTTCAGAACAGACACATACATATGGGTTTGGGATGAAGTTGTTCTTTAGGTCTTTTGGTATTCTTCATAATAACTTAAATGATAGGCAGCCTGGAAGTGCTGAATCCTAACAGAGCTAAGTAACTGCATGTTTAATGACCAAAAATGAGTAAAAAGAGAGGCATGGAGAGATCAACACTTACACAACCAATCCTTTCATGAGATAAACACATTTGAAAATTAGTGTCATTACCTGAAGCACTAAACTGATAGTAGCTAGGATCATCTCTTTCCTGCTTCATTGCTACTGCTGACATTTTGGAAGAAATTCCTGTAGAAGCAACAAAGGAATCAAATATGGAAACTAGTAATAAGCAGATTCTTAAAACAAAACAAGCAAACAAAAAAAGCACCCACCAAGATCCTCGCTGGTCTCTATTAAAAGGAAAAAAAAAGAAAAACAAATCACTGTTGAGCTAAAACAATGGTAACAAAGTGACTTGCTGGTTTCCTATGTTTCAGTTTGGTCACCCCTAGAAGGATCTAGGATTAAATAATCTCCCTACAAACTAGGCTTCCCTGCAAATGCTGTCTCAGATCTGAAGAATATTTTTTAAATGAGCTCCTTCTTCTTTGCATGCTACCAAAGGAAAAAAATATATTTTATCACTTACTTGTTGTGCTGAAAGTCCTGAAAAAGTTCCTCCTCACTCTTATGTTAGAATTACTTAAAATGCCCAGAAAGCAGCACTGGGAAGAGTCTGGGACTGACTTGGCAAAAAGTTCAAGTAAATCCTTTGTGTATGTAAAACTGACCATGAACCATGCAGGGTGCCTAAACCACAAATTTAAAGTTGTGAAGCACAAATAACAAGAGCAAAAAGCTGGACCACATACAAAATCTTAATTCTAATAGGAAAGTGAGCATTGCAGCCCAATCCAGCAAAAGGGAGTCTCCAGTTTATCTCCCAGCATACCTGCTGCCTCACTGGCTTTAATGGGATTGCCCAGGCTTTTATTTCTCAGCATACATTTAAGCATTCCTCTGCCACACATCACTTGGGAAATCATCTGCTGCCTGCAGAGTAACTTAGGAATGTTTGGCAACTTTTTAACAACAAATAACATATCTTATTTATGAACTTTATATTTCTATTTTAGCTAGAAAATGGACATTTTTTCCTTTTCAATATTTTAGGAATATTAAGAAATAAATCAAGATGCTTCCCATTAGGCACAAACATCTTGAATAAGAACAAGAAAAAAAAAAAAACAACAAAAAAGAGGAATTTCTTCTTCTCTAAATGAATTTAGTCTACAATGTATTACAAATTTCCTCCCTCTTGAAATGGAAGCATTTGGTTAGCACTTGATAAAAACTCCAACTGAAAAACGGACAATTTCAAGAAAGGAAAAGCTTTTCCATCTTGCCAAGGATGTCTTTTTGCTACTTTTTTTTTTATTTTTTTTTTATTATTATTATTTTTATTTTTTTGTTGTTTTCTGCAAATTAAGGCAAAATTTTGAACATACCTGAATCCTTGCTTGGTTCTGTTTTCACTTGAACAGGAGGACTACTATAAAAATAAACAAATCAAATAGAATTATTAAAAACAAACCTTAGATTTCTGGGAAGTTCTTCGAGCTTTATAGCTTGTTAAGTAAAATCAATCTCTCAGAATTTTTTCTAACAAGAACAGAAAATTTTAAAACCCTGCATATTGGCATATCTAATTTTTCACAAGTGACTTGGCAGCAATCTCCTATTCCTACATTTTTTTGAGCCATACACAATATTCAGATCATGTTTGGCATTTAAGGACAGGCAAAAGCAGAAGCACAGAAAACTGATCCCTGTTTTCACATTAACAAATTTTTGATGTATTACAGATATAGTATCTTCATTTACTAATTTTAAAAAATCACTTTTTTGAAATTGAGGAGGGGGAAGGAAGTAACATTAAATCTGTTCTCCCTCACTGCTGTACCATAAATCAAATGGCAAACTTATTCCTGACTAACAGACTGTGAATTAAGAACACCCATTGGGCTAATTAAACCAAAGAGAAACTTTGTCCTTCGTTTAATTCATAACAGTTTCCTCACAAATAATGATCAAAAAAAAGAGAAGATTGAGCTTCATGCTTTTAATAATGCCAAGTAAGCAAAAGTTATTCAAAGGTCAGCTGGGCAGAAAAAGCACATTAATAAAAAGATAACAACATCTATGAAAATAGATGGTTGATTAAAAAAAAAAATCTACATTATTTTAAATTCACCTTCCACATGGAGGTATAACTGGATGTGAAGGATATGAAGGATCTGTCACATCAGCACCTAAAAGTTAAAAGACAATATCTGAATTTCCTGTACTCCATTTACTTTAAACACAAATTGAAAATGTACCATTGATTTCACAAAGCAAAAGCCTGTTCACATTTTAGAAGCATATGTGCATATTTTCCTAATTCACAGGTAATGAAAGATCCCATTAAACTGTACCTAGCTCACACTTTTAGAATGTCACTCAGCACCCTGAAATCCTACCTCGTATTTTTGATAAACTATATTATTACCAGAATCTCTGCAATATTCCACCTCTAGTCCTCAAACTGAACATAGGCAACACTAATCTCTAATTTTACTAATCAAGCATCAACTTCTCGCTCTTCCACCTAAGAAATTAAACTTTTCCTTTTTGACTACATTCCTACAGAGATTGCTTCATCATTTTCATTAAACAAATCCTCACACTTACACATTTAGCAAGTAAAGCAACATGGTATCAGAAAAGGAACAGGGGAAGGGGATTTCTCCTAAACTAGAACTGAATCTCTGTAGAGTTTTACAAAACTCACTCTAGCTTAGAATTTTTAATATATAGAGGCTTTCATAGGAACTACAACACCTAGCCACTTCAGAAGATTAAATTACTTTTTAAAATGAAATATAAATGCCAAAATCAGCTGGTAGTGGAACACAAGTACTAGAAAGTCTTGGCATCTTCTAAAAACTGAAAGGAGTTCTTCATGAGTTCACTTCTCCTTCCCCTAGGATACTATACAATTCACATTAAATTTAAATTCAGTATAAGGATGAAGAACGAAATAGAATGAACTCAATCAAGACAAAAAATGACACAGAATTAATTTCATCTCTAATGAGTTGCTCCTGTCAAATGCACAAAGGAAAGGGTTATAGCTCCATAAGTCTCACAGGCTAGAAATTTCTGCATAGTTTGCCACTCTATTGACATTACCAAATGTACTGTGTATATTGCTATCTAAACTGAAATTCCAACCTTCTTCTGTTTAGTCTGAATAAGCATTAACTTACCTATGTGTTTCACTGGTTCAAGGAAAGGTCTGTGTGGAAATATGGGAAGGAAAACTCAGTTTTAGCAGAGACATTGTTAATTACTTGGTAGTGTACATTACAGAGAAAATTCCTGTTTAAGAGAAACAGTCTGCAACGTATTCAATTAAAAATTGAAATTAATTTTACTTAAATACAAAACCAAATTGGACAGACTAGCACAAGAAAAAGAGCAAATAACCTGTTGATACTAAATGAGATCCCTGATTTGTTTTCCAAAATCCATTTCAGGGTGGAAACATCATAATTGGCTGGATGTTTAAGGGTGAGTCCTTGGGGCAGGCCCTGCACTATCACAACAGACTGGTTCTTCTGAATCTCTTCATATGGCACAGCTACCATCGTTGACTTTCCTAAAGCTTTACCTAGAAAAAAAAGAGAAGGTTGTGTCGTTGTTGAGACTGCTGAAAGATGAGTCCCTCATAAAACTTTGTAACTTTGGATAGGACTGGAGCAAAAGCTAAGTGTGGAGGCAAATCTTCTCAGAAAACCAAATACTGCTGGCACTAATAAGCACTGTGCAATAATCTCAAACCACATCCCACAAAACACATCAAGAAGAAACATTATATGTGTATTTTTTGGAAACAGCTACTGAAAGTTTCTAAAAATAGTACTGTAGTTTAGTTGGAAGACTAAGATCATGCAGTTTTTTCCTCCCAAATTAAATAAAATTTGTTAAATCTAGAACAGCTCTTCAGAAGAATTTAAAGCACCCACCATAGCAAAAGCAGAAAAAGTCCTCCACAGACTTTCTAAGAGCCTCCACGTTCACAGTATCCACTGTCTGTCTGTTTACAGGTGGTGAAGTCTTCTTTATTTGCAGTTCTGCAACCCTGTCCTCTTCTGTAACACCTGGCAGTTATTTATAAAAATAAGACAAACATAAAATAGTAAGTTATTAAAAGTGCCTAGTCCCTCCACTCTATACTAGAGATTCTCAAGAAGGAATCCTGCCAGGAAATTGTAAGAATTTATTTGTATTAGAAGCCAATGCACTTATCTATATACATAAGCAATGAGCAAATTGAAATTTACACCAGAATTATTACATCCTCCCTACAATCTTTGCAAATATCACCCCCTGAAGAATATGAATGACAAATTAAGAGACACATCCAAGGAGGCTCTTTTTGGAATGAAGAGGTAGAAAACACTATTAATCTCACAAGAGGATAAGACAATAAAAATAAAATGCTAAACTGCCAAGAAAAGAAGGACTAACAGAGTCATCAAGAAAAAGGTAAAATGGAAGTGTGAAGGGTCCCATAGCTCTCTAGTGCTGTGCATGACATCTTACATAGCAATTCTATTATGTCCTGGTTTATTTATTCTGTATGAGCTTTGCAGAACATTTTACAGAAGGGATCTGACTTCTGCCATGGCAGTTCATCTCTTTCAAAGGACATTTTAAGTACACACCTCTTGCTGCTGAATAAGAGGAGCTACAAAGCCATCATCATGCAAAACAGAGAAGATTTCAGCCCTACATCTTGTTCTTGTCTCTGAGCAAAACGAGTGAGGAAGTAAGAACACTTCCAGTATTTAAAAGCAAACAGAAGTGATGGTTTTGGGTGGCAGCCTTCCTTTCTCATAATTCAATTCTTGCTAAGATTTACTGAGAATCAGCCAGCAAAACCAGAGGCAAACAACAGAGATATGCTTGCCTACCTGGAAGGAAAGGCAAGGGAGATCTGTGTTCCTTTGTGCAAGAGCATGATCAGTGCTGAAACTGTGTCATGACTTCACCACAAGCCAGCACAGCAGTAAGCCTGAAACACCGCGATGTGCATCACCAGGACTGCTGGCATCAGAATTCTACACTGACACAAGAAAACAAACATCAGTTTGTGCCAGCTGATTGACAAGGCAGGACTTTGGGGATTGCCAATGCTGAAGTCGATTTATTGATTACAAAGCTCAGTTTATACAGCCTTACAGCTTTGAATAGAATTTTCTACTGCCAAGAAATAACCACATTTTTCATGTTTCTTATCAATCTGCTTAACTACAATCTTTGCAGGTGCAGTTCCACACAGCTACCTAAAAACAAAACACAACATTCCTTCCCTACATCCCTCAGATCTCTGTTTGTATTTCCCATAGTTTTTGCCCCACAAGAACCAGGATGTCTGGCCCATCCATCATTTCCACAGAACTCCCTGTTCCACTGCTCAGCTGCCTCCCCATAAGTTTGAACAACTGATTACAAATGGGCTGTGAAATGAGCTGAAGCAGCAATACTTTTAGTAAAACCACATTTATCATCTTAAAAACTCGTATCTTCATTTAAAAGAGAATCTCATCCTTCCTCTGCAGATCATATTCTGTTTCATGCCCTGGAAACCCACCTCCATGTGGTGGGTTTAGCTTGCCAGCTCTTCAGGCCTGAAACTTTTGCTTTCTCTGCAGTGTGATCTATTAGAACACGAAAAACAATGCTAAACTGGAATATTGTTATATACCTACAACACAGGTGCTTAATCAATGATAGATTTTAAGATTTGCCTGTGGACTTGGGATAAGACATCAGTTTCCATTTACAGCTACACCTAATGTAGCTTTTTGAGCGGGCGTTTTTCCCATGTAAGAAACTGATTTACTGAAAATACCTTTACTGCCAGAAGAGTCAGAACATGTACTCACTCTTTCTAAAAATAATAAACAAACTGAAATTAAGATGACAACACTGCTCACTTCATATGAAAATGAAAAGCAGATAGAAAGATAAATTTTCTTTCTTAACTAGGAGACAAACCCTTATGGGGGTTTTTTATACATGATTTTTATGCATTTTCTTAAGATCACATTATGCATCTGCCTCCCTAACCCTTCCCACAATCATTGGCTGATTTTAATAAAGACTCAGATTAAGTTCAAGATATAAAATTAAGTTTCAAATGCAGCAAGATTTGTAACAGCCCTGCACAACTGATCAAACCTAGCAGGCATTCACTCCCCCTGGCACTGCTGACGGACACACGAACCCTTGGAGGTTGCACAATTTCATAGGGCTCTTCTGAAGCCCTTGCCACAATTACTGGAGCCCCAAGCAGGATTCAGGCTACATTTGGGAGGGGATGCCTAGGACATATGCAACAAGATCTGGTGCAGAAGAGGGATGAGGGGGCTGTATTTACAGGGTAAATGGCTCACGATGGGGAAGGAATGGTTATATGGTAAAAGAATAGCATTTTGCACAGTTGTGATTGTGATAATTGATAGAAGATTCGTGTTAATCACAAAAGTATTGGAGTTTGTATAAACCAGAATACTAAGGTCTGTAGTGAAGCATAGACACTAGATAAAGGAAAATACATTACTAAATCATTCTGTTTTAAATCACCTTGTTATGAATATTATGTTTTCCAAATAAGTTGTATCTACTACCAGCTTGCAAAATCAGACTTCCTGATAGTCCCTCCTGCCTTTGTTTGATCAATGCTGCCTATCTCAAGGACCCGACTTCCAGAACTTTGCTGGTGGTTATCTACAAAGACCATCTGTGAGACTGACTGTCACCTGGAGACTGTGAATTTGTATAAGGATGTTTATTCAACCACCACTGTTTACCTGGCAAAATTATGACAGCAAAAAATCAAAAATTATTGATTACGAGGAGAAACCACAGTATAAGAAGAGGCTGCAAACCAAGGCTCCATGGAGCGTGGTGTGGGTGGTGACCCCTCACGTTCCCCAGCGCTGCATTGCTCCATCTATATCAAATAAAGCAACCTAAACTTTGTTGAATATCGAGACTTTTGTTTCTCATTTATAACATGAGCATCCTGCAGAATGAGTTTCACTACTCTTCTGGATTCAGCAGGATTACAAACTACACAACCCCCCACAACCCATTTTGCAATGACAGTCAGTACCTTCACCACACATGTACTGACACCCTGTGACCTGAAGCATGTGGTGACAATGCTGTTGTCCCCAGTCCAATACTCCCTACGGGAAGTGGGGTGGAAGAGACTCTTAAATCAATCACTGATGGACTATGCAGATGATAATACAAGGACAACATTAACAAAGGACCACCTTGTGGGTGAAGGGACACAAAGTCAGCCCGATGACCAGGCCACAAACATCCCCAGGCCGGTATTAGATGACATCATAAACACGGCTAGGAAAGCACTCATGCAAGTGCCTGAGGGCAGTACCTGGGCTTTGGACTTCACTGATATAAGAGCCCAACGACTCCTACATGCAGTTTATTGATCACCTCAAACAGGCCCTAGACAGATAAATTACACAAGAGCGAGCCAAAGATGAGTTGTTATAAAGACTGGCATAACTGAATGTGAACCCTGAATGTAAAAAGGCATTGCATTGCTCTTCCATAGCCAAAATCCTATGTTAACACAGATGATGGACCTGCAACCGCCTCAGAACACCTGAACACTCTGCCACCTCACAGGCACAGGTGACAGGACAAAGGGTCACACAGGCATTAGCCACAAGGCAGGTCATCCTGCAGGGCCATCAACAACAGGGCCCGGGAACTTGCCATGGATGCAGCCAAAATGGACATTTTGCAAAGGACTGCCTTCAGCGAGGAGAGAAACTTGCTCCTAGGACTTGTGGGTGCAAAAGAGATTTCCAACATACTAAAAGATTTTGCCCTAGACAGGAAAATCGTAGCAGGCAACCATCGGGAAACTTCCAGCAGAGCGTGGGATGGCCCCATGCGAGGACACAAATGTTCCAGCCGACCATGTCCACCATCACCAGTGCCCCAGAACTACAACAGCTCCTCACAGGGCTCCCAGCAACCCTGCCCCCAGCTGCCAGGCTGGATTTAGGAAGTGCCAAGCCAGTAATAATGACTGATTACTCCACACATACCATTGCCACTGGATAGCTGGGGCCTGAAGATGGGCCCTGGGAACTGCTGATATTGGGGAAATGCAGATCGAGGAGTGAGGGGTTTTTTGTGTTGCCATCCCTGTTGTCCATAACATCCAAGCAGAAGATGACAGTTTTAGTAATGTGTACCAACCTGCCATGCTTCATCCCCCAAGGACAGTCAATCTTTTAACTGTGCTTGTGTTATAGTGGAAAAGTGTTTGATTATCAGTGGATTAGCCTCCATGAAAGAATTGTTCAAAAAATTAAATACATAGCCATAGCTAACATAATTATAGCATGCAGCCGTGATAGATAGAATATTGCTCCCAAAGCTATTAATATTATGCAATATACATTATACAGCTTGTGACATACAAAAATAAAACATTGAACTTACAGTATTCAATAAAATCCGTCTTAATCTCTTCCCTAGAGTTGACAAAGGCTTTTCCTCTCTCAGTTCCAACTACAAAAACATGTCTTTCATATACACCAATACAGGCAATTTCTGCCTTGGACTTGGCAAGTTCTTTACACTATAAAAAGAAAAAGAAAAAGCTTTTATTACCATGGTTAAGATGCAGATAATAAAAATGTATGTGATATCATGTAAAACAATTATTGCAAGCATCCACCCTTCAGAAGGTACTATGAGCAACATAACATCAGCCAGTAGCCAAGCACAATTTACACATCTGGAATGCTTTTCATCAGAAATCTTAAAAGAATTGTAGATTCATTAGCAAAATTAAGGCCTTGTATAGACTTGGAGATAGCATCGCTTTTAATTAAAATTATTTATGACATTAATCCACGTTAAATTATCACTTCCATATTAATCATACTGAGTGTCTTACTCCACCTTTCAACAAAGCATTCAGGATCTCTCACACCATGTTCTGTTCAGAAAGGTGTGGTTCCAAGCAGGAGGGCTCCCTTTCATCTGCCCTGTCCTGTCTGCTGAGCACAGGCTCAGGTAAATTCCCCTGAATGGAAGGATTGCACCATCCCTGTAAACACCTACATATGTTCTGCCAGGAGAAATTTCTGGCAAGAACTAAGGCAGGAAGCCTCTGGAGAGAACAAGGATCCCAAGAAAACTGGTGAGATGACCAGGTAATGATCACAAAAGGTCAGTCTCTCCTAGGAACTGAATCAGTTTGCTATAACCTATAAAAACACCAACAGCTGCAGCATGGGAGGAAAAAGTGACACAAAGACTTTAAGAACCAAAATTACCCAACGGGATAAAAGACTTGCAACACATTGTCTTATAACTATTCCTATAAAGTTTCATTGCTAAAAAGAAAATGTTTGTCCTTGCTTATCATTAAAAAACTCCAATTTTGAAGTTGGACAGTGCCTCAACTTCAAGGAAATGGGACAGGCATTTTCACTCACAACCCCAGCCAACCATAAACACTGCTACACTATTGAATAACTTTTGAAAAACAGATTGTATGCCAACAAAAAGAAGTGTTTTCTGAACAAGTTTTGTTGAGTTGCTACAGCAGCTGAAGACATGGCATTAGGCTCAAAACCATTTATTCACTCAATATCACATATGACAAAGACCAGAACACACTCTTGCCTTTCAACCACACTGTATCTAAGCAATCAACAAATATTTCCGATTTATTTGACAAAATAATTTTTAAAACAACCACATCACAACAAGAAACAAGATTACTGATAGCTATTACGAGCTAAGGTAGAGTAACAGCTGGTTGGACAACACACAATACTGTACAAATGTAACAATCCACCTTCCCTGCTGCCCAGTGGGAAGCAATATACTGATGTCATCCTGCAAATACCAAGACAGATTTACGATGCAGAAATTTAACTTCTCTACTAACCATTGACTCAAGTCCTGACATGAGGAATGTAACCACCATTCTGCTTTCTAAGGATTCCTCAACATGGATGGACGTTGTTCGTGCAATGGTTTGAGCCATTTTCCTCCTGCAAAATGAAAGGAAAAAACATTTTCAGCTACATACAACAGTGCAAAAAATGAAAATCTCTCCTATGCAAGCAAAGAAAAAATAAATTCAAAATCCCATAGAACACAGCCCACTAAACACAAGCAACCAAACAAACAGATAAATTAACAGGAAAAAGTGCTTGTTTTTCTATTCTTTCATGCTTCCTGCTGTTTCATCCGAAGCTGGAGCTGAACATAAGACAAAATGTTGTATCATGATCAGGCCACAAACTATCTGTGCCCAGAAAAATGCATTTTAATTGATTAGCTGAATTTACATTGATTTTTCTTTCTAAGCATGTCTAGATAAACACAGCAACAAACACTGGCATTAACAAACAAAAGGCAAATCATAATTATGACTCAGGTATTAGAACTCCCTGATGTCAACTGAGAGATGTGGCTCCGTTTGATGTAAGCAAGAAGACAAGGCCAATTTATTGATTCCACAGCTCTGTTTATACAGTCTTATAGCTTTGGCTAATAGGCAATAACCACAATATTTATGTTTCTTAGCAACATTGATTAACCATAGCTTTGCACCTGCACACTTGCATGACTTTTTCTTCAGACAAAGCACAACATTCCTTTTGCTTCAGCCTTCACACTTCTGTTTGAAGGTCCCAAGGCTTCTGGCCCACCAAGTGCAGGATGTCCACATCATCCATCAACTCTGCAGAACTTTCTGCTCCATTACCCAGCTGCCCCCTACAACCACCTTTCCTATAATTATGATGGCCTAGCTCAAAACAAATTGTTGCATATAGGTAAAACTTAATAAAAGAAAGGCCTTGTAAAACACAGTTCAGGCCTTGCTGTTCTGGCTAAGCTAGCCTGTAAAGTTCCCACGGGAAAAGAACTCTAAGAATGAAAATCAGTTTGCCTAACAATCTATTCTTGTGAGAAAAACAGTTCACATCTGCAAAAATAAGAAGTCTAGCCCAGAATCCATGAAGGAAATATGTAAACTATCTAGAAAGAGAGAGATCTGATGGACATGTACATTGGCCATTTACCAGCCAATGAACTGAGTTTCAGTGGATTGTTAATCAATTGGATTTAACACGGTGCCTTCTGATATTCCTGTAAATATAAGCTCTGTAAATAAAGATTGGGCTACGCTGCATGAAGAAACATGAGTGTGTCTCGTCTCATTTCTATCTCTAAAACAAGGTCTGTAGCAACAACCCTGCCCCAAAATCACAGCCTCAAAGACTACTGTATCAGTAACCAGAATGTGACATTCTTATTTGCATATTTTCCAGCTGTGGAATTAACTAAAAGCAAAGTAATCTCAACTAAGGTGCTAAAATTAGTAACTAAATTTCCACAGTGACACAAAAAAGCCCTTCTTTCTGTAGGTCATTCAGGAAATTTTCAACCTATTTAAGACATAAGTAATGATCAAGACTTGTTTATACAAGACTGAAATACATGAGAAGGAAGTTTCAGCAGCTTCTAAAAGTACATTTTTTCTACTGGAGTGCTGCAACTTGTTATGTTTACACACATCTAGAGCAATAATCTGACACGCCTGGAGAAAAAGAGAACTGGTAGATAATTTAGCTGTAACAAGTCCACATGCAAGTCAAGAAAAGTCACCTCAACAGACAAGACATATCAGATGAACAAGACATTTCACAGGCTGATGAGATACCCTGCTGCTCCTGTAGAACCTGGCCACACAATGTGGCTCAGATTTTCAAAGGTGACATGACAGAAGCCCAAATGATCAACACTGCAAACTCAAAACACATGTAGTCGCCTTCTGGCTCTCAGGCACAGGCCAGCAAGCTGCATTTTGCATGAAGTGCATTCTGAATAAAGTGGCAGAGAGTGGCACTGACAACAGACAGCAGCTGTTGGAGGATGTTAGTAATGAAGATGCTGAACACTGGCATACTGTTATACTGAGGAGGAAGCAAACAGGTCCTTCACCAGGTCAGCTGTCCTGGCTGTGTCCTCCCCAACTCCCTGTGCACCCCCAGCTTCCTCACTGCTGGGGTGAGCAACAGAAAAGGCCTTGGCTCTGTACAAACACTGCTCATAGATAATGAAAACATCCCTGAGTTACCATCACTATTTCCAGCAGAAATCCAAAACAGAGTCCTGTACTAAGAAAACTATTTCAGTTAGAAGCAGCACACCGTCTAGGGTGAAGACCACCACAATACAGCACTAAAAAATCCCTGAATTTTCCTTTTAGAAGGAGAAAACTGAAGACCAAATGTTATAACCCACCTCTGAAGGCAGGGTAAATGAGGTTCATGTTAACAGACGCCCTGGTGTCTATTAACCCTTGGAGGGGTTACCCAGGTTACACACCCTGGTCTAACAGTGAAAGATCAGTATATAAATACATAAACAAGAACGTATACATATATATTTATTTATGTGTATGTGTTTTAGTTTGAAAGACAAGTGTCTTCCCAAGGAAGGCAGGAACCTCCCTAGAAATGGAGAGTATGACTCCCTTCCCTCTGAATTATTGTAACTTTGAAATGAAAGTGTTTCAGGCCAAGCTATGGGCACAGGAGCAGCAGTTGCTCAGCAGTGTGTGTACCCAGGCAAACAAACAGCAGCAGCAGCAGCAGCACAGACCCAGCGCAGCCTCGGCCCGTGCACAGAGAACGGCCCCGGGCCCTTGGCTGCAGTTCCGGGCACGGCCGGCAGGGGCGCTGCTGGCTCCCGGCGGGCAGGGGGGGGCCATGGTTCCCCGCGCCGCCAGGGGGCGCTGTGCCGCAGCTCGGGCTCCACACGGCCATGGCGGC